CCATTCAAGATCCCCTAATTTAAAACACAATGAGAAACCACTTCACACCTGTGAGACTGGCAGGTATTAAAAAGGCCAGACCTAACAAGAGCTGGCAGGACATGGAGAAAAGGGAACAGTCCTGCACTATTTTGGGAAATGTAGACTGGTTCAGCCCTGATGGAAAACAGTATCCAGGTTTCCTAGAAAATTAACTGAGCATCTGCCATATGACCCAGCAGGTCCATTCCAAGGTATCTACCCTGCCTCAGATGGCCCATGAGAAGTTTTTGGCTATGAAGAAGACTCGGAGTCAAATTGAACTTTCAGCAAGGGAAGGCTGGGGAGAGCTGTCTAGAGCAGCTCTGCCTTTCACTCTCCCAGCCCAAGCTCTTATTAAAGATTTAAACAAAGGGATAATAAGGAAATAGCGTGGGGTTTATGCTTATACACATTAATAAGTTACTGCTGGAACAAATTTTTCTAATTAGGGATCATGCGCACAAGTCAGCATGTCCTCAGGGAACAGGAGTTACTCTGGGGAAGAAGTTCTATTTGCAGAACTTCTAACCTCCTGGAACCCCCTGTGCAGAGTAAGCAGGTGCTCTCAGAGACTCCGGCTCCCTTCAGGCAGCAGGCACCAGCACACCCGCAGAGGATGTTACACTATTTCAAAGGAAATCTACACCCCTATGATCACTGCAGCACTATTTACAGTAGCCAAGCTGTGGAAAGGGTGGTACATAGATAATAGAATATTACTCATCAACAAACATAAACTCATGCCATCTGGGGCAACATGGATGGAGCTAATGGAAATAAGCCCAAAGGAGAAAGACAAATGTGTCACTTAGATATGGATATAGAAAAATTAAACAAAGGGCTAGATTAAGCCAAACTTAAAAGCTATCCCTTGAGTCTCCCAGGCGGTGCCTGACTGCTGACTGGGGCTGCCCACCAGCCAGGCTTCCTGGCCCAGCAGTGCTGGATGGTGGACTGACCCTCTCTAGTTTGGCATCAAACTCATTTGACGACAAAGCCTGACTCCCGCTGACTGAGTCCCCCATCGTGTCTTGTTGCATCTGCACCACCACTGGGTCCTCAGCCTCTGCTGTTTGCTGGGTCTGAGATGGATCTTGTACTTGATGCCGCAGGTTATTCTTTTGTTTGTTTTTTGTAAGATTTATTTTTTATTTATTTATGCATACGAGAACTGGGGTGGGTGTAAGCCAGAGGTGCAGAGGGTAAGAGGATTCACCAGAGACAGAGTGGGGAGCAGAACAGGCAAATCCACTGAAATCCAATGCTGAGGGGAGCGGTGGGTGAGACAGTAGAGGTCTGCTGTGCCATGTGGGTAGCTCCCTGGCAGGGGATCAAATTCAGTCCTACATGGTGATAACACTGATAATTAACCCTGATGCCACCATGGAAGCCCTGTTTTTAATATATTTTTACATCTTTTGATATTATTTAAAATAATAGCAGGGGACCTTTTAGTACTCCTACTTCTCTGCTTTCATAATACACATGCTCCATCCTCCTAGCACGGGGCTCAGGTGGGGTTTACACGTGTCTTTGTCACCTTCACTCAGTGTCCATCTCTCATGACAGTGCAAGTTCCACATTTCCAGGGTCTTCTATCTGCTCCCCATTGTATCTTTGGGGGTGCAGCTTTGGGAGACAGGGAGCCAGCCAGGGAGAGGGATTCTGGGAAGTGAAGAAGAGGCAAAGGCAGAAAATATTTGGGAGATGTTCCTTGGTTCACTGAGAAAAGCATTTCTCAAAGTGTTGTGGAATCCTTGAAGTCACCCAGAACCTGTCACAAGGTCCATGAGGTTAAAACTATTTTCAAAACGTCACTTAGACACCGTTTGTCTTTCACTATTTTGACATCTGCTGAGGTAAAACTTAGTAAAAATGGTGCTTATATTACTAACTGTAGTAGTAATTATTCTTCACCACTTCTTACCTCAGAAACACAACTCCAAGCCAGTTTCATTTCAAAGTGTCTTGGCTGAAGCATTGAAAATTATCTTCATTATTTTATTATCCTCAAATTCACATTTTACAGAACCTGATGTGATGACACACAAGTGCACACAGAATACTCCTGCTGTGTTCCCAAGTACCATGTGCCAAGGAAAATATTTGCATGAGATTGAGATGAATTAGACTGTTTTTCTTTTTTTGTAGGCAATGCCATCTTTACATGAAAGAATGAATGACAAAAACTGTGGCTATTTGATTTGGTTAATTGGAAGACATTGTCCCGAAAGTGAGTGTGTGCTCCTTTGAGAAAATCAACTGACAATTGATAACTGACAGTAACTGAGAGTAACTTCGCCTCGATAAAATGTAAGTGCTCAGGAAAAAAAAGAATTATGGAAAATTGTGTCCTATCACTAACTTGACAATTTCCAGTACTACTTTTTACTTTGGGATTTGTGGTGAAAAATAAAATGAATTTTTTTAAGTAATTTGATTCCAGTGTAATGAACACTGAAGAAACTTATAACTTAGTGAAACAATATATTACTTCAAAAAAATTACACATTAGCACAAGACCCCATCAATATGCAAGAGAGGACAATGGAAATGTAACAGAATAAGAAATATTCAATGATATTGTTTCAGATTTCACTTTGCAAATAACCTTTGGGAAAATACCACCTGTATAATTTTAATTCAGTTTCAAAGTGTAATATTCACAATTTTGTGAAAATACTGTTCCAACATATTGTGTGAGGCTGTGTACATTTTTTCATAGACTTCAACCAGAAACACAGACCAAATGCAGAAGGAGGACCTCCCTGGTGACACAAGTGGTTAAGCACTGTGAAGAAATCCATAGCTTCTGCAGCACAGGGTTCAATCCTGGGCCAGCCAGGGAGCAACCAAAATGGCTCAGCAGACCTCTCCTGACTTTCCTGCTGCTCCCCTTGGCAGTGTATTTCAGTTAGTACGCCTGCTCTGTTCCTCACTCTATCTCTGGTGTATCCTCTCATGCCCCCCATCTCTGCCCTGTACCCCAGCTCTTGTATGCATAAATAAAAATAAAATTGTTTTTAAAAATGCAGGAGGAAACATGAAAATCCTACCATTTTCTATGAGATAGACAGGAAAGACAACTGCAAAAATAAAAAATGTAAAATATCCACTTTTCATATTGCCATGATTATTTTCAGAAGTAAGTTATTTTTCTTTTTTTTTTTTTTAAGATTGATTTATTTATTTATACAAGCACTGGGTACAGTCAGAGGTACTGGAGAGTGAGAGAATTCACCAGGGCCAGAGTGGAGAGTAGGAGAGTAGAACAGGCAGAGAGACAAAGTACGCTGCTCAGGGGAGCAGCGGGTGGCAGGAGAGGTCTGCGTGCCATGTGGGACCCTCTTCCAGCGGCTGGGGATGGAACCGAACCGGCACTGCAGAGGCTACCGGCAGCTTCACAAGCCAGCGCTCAACCGCTGCGCCACCCGGGAGGCCCAAGTTATTTTTCTTAAGAACACTGTCTGTTATTGCTATTATTCTAAATGAAACAGCTACATGATTAAAACAGCTTTATTCCAGTGTGGTAAATATGGGGAGCGATACCTCCTAAACAAGATTATACTTGGCGTCCTCCCTAATTTGTAAGACTGGACACAGATCCGGGAAGGAAAATGACTGAGAATCGCAGACCCAGTGCCTGGGTCATGGAGACAGGGTGAGGAAGCTTTGGGTGAGGACAGGAGGGGCCAGAGCAAAGCCTCAGGTCCCCAGTCTGGTTCTCATAGTTCCAGGCCCCAGGGCTGTGTCTAGGGCAGGAAGGTTACTGTTGGGGATACCCCACTGCCCCCTTAGCCTCCCTTCTGTCTCCACCACCTGTGCTGGGCCCTGGACACTTGTGACTCCTCCCCAGTTCTCAGTCCCCAGTGCCTGGAGGTTCCCAGAGAACCAGTCAGCATCACTGCCTGCCCAGGTAAGTCTCCACCCACCAGCCTGGAGTCAGAAGCTCCCCAGACCCCAGCAGTGCGGGGCATGGGGCCCCCAACCCTCCTCCTGCTGCTTCTCTCCAGGGCTCTGGCCCAGACAGACACCTGGGCTGGTGAGAGCAGGGAGGAGGGAAAAGGCTTCTGCAGAGGAAGCTGCTGCCTTAGGCCCCTCTGTCACCCCCGTGGCGCCCCTCAGTCCTGGTCCCTTTCTGTCCCCCCACCTGCCTCCTCCTTTTGTCCCCTGAGTCTTGCCCCTTCTGGACCCCCTGCCCATGTTCAGTCTCTGGAGCTCCCTCCCTCCTGGACACTTTCTCCCCTGCCCCATCTCCCTGGGACTCAGGACCTGCCCCTGGAGGAGGGTCCGCCCTGCTTTCACCCCTCCCCGCCCCCAGGCTCCCCCTCTCTGAGGGTGTTAGAAATGGTGATGTCCCGCCCCGCCTCGGGGAGCCCCGGTATATCGCGGGGGGCTACGTGGACGACACGCAGTTCGGGGTTCGACAGCGACTCCCCGGGCCAGAGCGCGGAGCTGCGGGCCCCTGGGCGGGCGGGCGGGGCGGGAGGGTCGGGCGAGGAGACGCGGCTCCGCAGACACTCGGCGCGGAGGCTCCAAGCGCTCCCGGAGGCCCCGCGCGGCCGCCGCAGCCAGAGCCGGGCGGGGAGCAGCGCGGGCCGGGGCGAGTCACCGCTCCGGCCCCCACCCCCCGCCCCGAGTCTCGGGGTCCCGTGACCCCCGAGGCCGTGGCCCCTGCCAGGCCCCTCGACCAGGGAAGAGCCCGCGGGACTTTCACCCGCGAGATTTTAAGTTTACATTTATTCTGCGCTGGAGGTAGGGGTGCGGGTGGGGTGACCAGGGGACAGACCTCAGGGCCGGGGCTCAGGGTCTCCCACGATCCAAAGGACTCGGGGCTGCGACGCGGGGCCCGACGGCGCCTCCCCCGCGGGCACGACCAGCTCCCCACGACGGCGCCAGGGACGCGCCCTGGGCGGGGACCTGCGCGCCTGGACCTGGCGGGCCCGCGGCTCAGCTCCCCGGCGCGAGGGGGAGGGGGAAGGTCGGGCAGAGCAGGACGGGAGCAGCCTAGGGGGCAGGTTATTCCTTTAGGCTCTGACCTGACTCCTCCTTGGTCTCACATGATGCTTCTTCCTACAGGAGGAAAGGAGGAAGCTACACTCAGGCTGCAAGTAAGTGTGGTCAAGGGTTTGATTCCTGAGCCCCTGGGGACAGTGTAGATGGAGCCCATGGGGGAGTCACTCTCATCAGTTCCTCCTGTGGTCTCATCTCTGACCAAGTTTTGTTGTGTTCTCCCCCAGGCAGCCACAGTCCCAGTGCTCTGAAGTGTATCTCAGGCCCTATAGGTGAGACCCTGGAGGCCTGCAGTGGGGGTGGGGGTTGAGGCAGAGAGGCTGGGACCAGGTGATGGGGATGCTTTCAGGAGGACATCTTGGGAATACAGTGGACCATTGATAATGTTAACACTCAGGTCATTCACCTGAATTTCTTCATTATTATTTTCTTTCTTTCACAGTGTGAGACAGCCTTGTGTTGGCCTGAGTGTTACAGGATTTCTTTTTGCCCACATTTTGTGCCTTTATAATCCCCTGGTTTAAACCTTCACACCTGTGAGAATGGAACGTATCCAAAAGACCAGAAACTCAAGTGCTGGCAAGGATGTGGAAAAAAGAGGACAGTCCTGCATTGTGTTTGGATATAGACTGAGCCAGCCCTTATGGAAACAGGATTGAGGTTTTTTAAAAGAGTGAATGTGGTTCTGCCATTGGACCCAGCAATTCTACACTGAGGATCTACTCACAGAGGATAAATACTTTCCTGTGAAGGGACCTGCACTCCTGTCACCACTGCAGCACTATTTACAGTAGCCAAGCTATGGGAACAACCTATATGCCCCAGAAAGGTGACAAATCAAGAAGCAGCTGGGATTACACGTATACATATATGTACATATACAGGTGACTCCAAAGGAGATGAACCTTGGGGTGTGGGGGAGGGAGCTGTCAGGGATGAAGATGCCACCACATCCTAGGAGCCAGGGTGAGGGGCGGGGTCCTGCCCAGCTCCTTATACCTCAAACCAACCATGAGATATTTCTAATCCTCCTCCTCTTCTTTAGGTCCAATGCTTTTTCAGTCCTGCTCAGAAGCTGCTTTGTGGACTTCTAGTGAGTCCTGGACCTGGGATGTGACAGTGAAGGAAATCAGACATGGGGGACTGTCATGTCCAGCATGCAGTGAATATTTATTTTCTTAATGCTCTTTTATACACTACTTTAAGTGCAGCAAGTGTAACATCAAAGCATACCACATAATAACAGTGTATATGATTGATTATTCTGCTTTCTTACTATTATCTATTTCAGACAGTAGCGTGCCAGGTGGTTAGATCTCACACAGTATAATCTTATTGCCCCCTAGCTAGAGCATGGGAATTTCGCTCATTATTTCTTGTTATTCTAAGACTGTGGAGATGAGAGGCCTGACTCCACGCAGATCACATTCCGGGCACTCAACACCAGGTCCAGTTACTCAGAAGTTTTTCTCCAAAACGCATGTGTTTTCACATGCCTTTGCGACTCAGGTTAAGGCCCTTCTGCTTGCTGCATGGGGTCTCTCCCAACACTGCTTCAGAAAGAAATAACCCAATTTTAATAAGGACAAAAATAGTGTAATAAATGAACGGCACTTCATCTGTAAAAATGTACAAAACTTCCATACAAACAGCAACTGTAGTCATAGAAAAGTAAAAATATGAACAAATTCTCAACATCACAGTTAAGAACAGTGACACCTTCACAGCTAGGAGAGACTGAAAATGCAAACTCTGCACAATACCAGGTGCTGTCCAGGGTGTGAACAGCAGGAGCCTCATCATCTTCATTTTTTTAAATTTTTTTATTTATATAAGAGCTGAAATACAGGCCAGAGTTACCAGAGGGTAACAGGATTCACCAGAGACAGAGCAGGAAGCAGAACAAGCAGACAGACTGAAAGCACTGCTAAAGGGAACAGTGGGTGAGACAGGAGAGATCTGCCTCGCCATGTGGGATTCTCCCTGGCTGGCCGGGAATCAAACCTGCGCTAAGGCTGCGGACAGCTTCACAGCACTGTGTTCAACCCGCTGTTTCCAGAACTGGGACGAAAGACCCAGGTCAGGACTGGGAAAAATGAAGAAAGGAGGAGAGGGGGAACTGGAACAAATGCCCTCTGGGCAACACACATGTGTGGAAGATACTTCCCATTAACCAGGCAGGACAAGTTCTCCCTCGGACATGAAAGCCCCCAGAGGACAAGATCCCCCACTCCCTTCCCTACCTGAGTTTCTTCCTCCACATCACAGCTGCAGCCACCAAAGCTCCAGTGAGCACAGCTTCAGGGAGAACCAGGCCAGCAATGATGTCCATGGTAGGGATGGAGGACTGAGGAGGGGGCACTGGAAGGGAAGGGAAGATCATACCCTGAGCCCCAGACCTTATCCTGACCCTCTGAAGGTCTACAGAAGGGCTCCTGATGGCCCTGAGAATAGCCTCAGTGCTCACATCCTCCTCCTTACCCCATCTCAGGACTTGGGGCTCCAGCAGGCCTTCATGCTGCTCGTGACACATGTATCTCTCCTCTTCTCCAGAAGGCACCACCACAGCCGCCCACTTCTGGAAGGTTCCATCTTCCCCTGGCCTGGTCTCCACCAGCTCCATCTTCTGGGTCAGGTCCTCCCCATCTTGCTGCCAGGTCAGGGTGATGTCCGCAGGGTAGAAGTCCAGGGCCCAGCACCGCAGGGTGACCTCATACTCAGAGGTGGGGTGGTGGGTCATGCGTGTCTTTGGGGGATCTGAGGTGGTAAATCAGAAAACTCACTTTGTGTTTCTGTTACTGAACGCCGGCCTCAGTTTCCCTCAGCCAATAAAAGGAAACCGAGTTTGAGGAAAAGGAAAGCGGTTTTATTTGTCGACAAAAGAGGAGAGCGGCAGACTCATGTCCAAAAGACCACCATCCTGCTCTTTGGCAGTGGGCAGGGGTATTTATACTAGGAGATAGGTAGGGGCTCACAAAGGGGAGGGGGACTGGGTCCACACAGAGACAAGTGGGCGCCAGCTCAACAGTGAGATGGATGAGTGAGTGCCAGCTGGTTTTCATTAAGGGGCTGGGGGAAGTGTCAGCACAGAGATCTGGAAGGAGAGGGGTTTTTACAGAGGCCTATGGGAGTCAACTCATCCATCTTAAGGGAAGGGGAAGGTGTCAGCATAGAGATGGGTGATTGCCAGCTTGTTTTCATTAGGGGGAGGGGAAGCTGCAACCAGTGGGGAAAGACAAGCTATTAGTCCTGTTAATGCTAGATAAGGGGGGATTGCAAGAAATGGGGGAAAGACAAACTTGTTAACTGTATCGTTTCCTCCATGGACACTGAAGAATCCTCATGAGACCATCCTCACAATGGACAAGACAACTGGTGTGGCAGGAAGAAGCATAAAATGTAAAAAACAGGCTAATCTGGGGGAATTTGTGAGATTCTCCTATTCCTTAGAAAGTTCTAGAATGAGGAGGAAAACCCAGGGTAGGATGAAGCAGAGGGAGTGGAACACAGACTTTTTATTCCTGACCTGGGTGGAAGGTGAATGACACAGAAAAGCAGGAATCACATAACTGAAAATGTTCTCAGACCAGAAACAAGACTGAGAGAGAAACTCGTGGTTCTCAAACAGGCCCCTGGTCAAAAGGACCCGGTGACGTGTGGTGTCAGGGACTGGCTGTCTTTCTCAGGAGAGACTGGATCCCTTCATGTCCTTCAGGAGAAGCCGGAGTCTCTGGGAGTCTCTCTAGTGCAGAACATGAAACCCAGGGGAGCCCCCCTCTCCGGACTAGAGAGAGGACTCATTTCCCGCAGTGACTCCAGGCAGGGGGGGACCGGGAGGCCTCCAGGCCCCTCTTACCCGTGCGCTGCAGAGTCTCCTTCCGGGACTCCAGGCATGTGCGCAGCCACCACAAGCACTTGCCCTCAAAATAGATCCTGAATCTCTCTGCCTCACCCTGGGCCTCCCACTTGCGCCGGGTTATCTGAGCGGCCATGTCCGCCGCGGTCCAGGAGCTCAGGTCCCCTTTCAGGGCCAGGTAATCGGCGCCGTCGTAGGCGAACTGTCTGTACGCGCGGAAGAGGCGCCCGTCGGGCCCCACGTCGCAGCCAGACATCTCCTGGAAGGTGTGAGAGCCTGTCCCCGCCCGCGTCACCCCGCGGTCACCCCGCCCGCGCCCCCTCCCACCGGGAATAAACTAAACAGAACGAAACGGGGTGAAAGTCCCGCGTGTTCCCGGGCAGGTTGCAGAGAAGCCTGGAGGGGGAGACCCTGAGCGACCCCCGTCCGTGGGGATGGGGGTGCTGACCCGGCCCGGCCCCGCGCACAGCTCACCGGTCTCGCTCTGGTTGTAGAGGCCGCGCAGGGCGTCCAGCTGCGCTCGGGACCACAGTGTGCGCTCCCTTAGCATCTGCGTCTCCTCGTCCCACTCCTCCTGCTCCTCCTGCCCCAGCTGCTCCGCCCAGGGCGCCCGAGGCTCTGCCCTCTGGCCCGGAGAGTCGCTGTCGAACCGCCCGAACTGCGTGTCGTCCACGGAGCCCACGGAGATGAAGCGGGGCTCCCGGAGGCCGTGCCGGGACATCGCGGTGTGGAAACACCTCAGGGAGTGGGGGCCTGGGGGCGGGAGGGGAGACCCGGCCTATTCTTCTCCCCTTCGCAGGCTCGAGTCCCAGGGGGCGCCCACGAGACAGAAAGTGGGTGAAAGACGAGTGAGAGTGAAAAGCGGCTGCGGGACGAAAATGGCCGGGACTCGGGGGGCCAGAGGAGGCTGGGGTCTCGGGGGACGGAAAGGGGCCAGGACGGGGCGGGGCCGAGGTGGGGGGACAACTAGGGCGGCGGCGAGGTCGCGCCTTTCCCACGCCCGCCCGCGCCCTCGCCCCCGCCTCTGGGAGCGCCCTGTCCCCTCCCGACCCGCACTCACCCGCCCGGGTCTCCCTCGGGGCCGCGGCCCCCGCGAGCAGGAGCTGGAGGGCTGCGCCCCGCATCCCCAGGACGCGCCTCCACCCGGGCTGGGGAGACGGTCCGGGCGGGCGGGCGGGGGCTTTGGAACGGGAGCCGCGGGGCTGCTGATTGGCTGCTCTGGAGACCTCCAGGCAATGGGGAGTGAGCCCTGGGGTGACTCACCAGTATCCAGGCAGGAGGACCCGCCCAGGCTGTGAGCCCAGAAGAGGAACCGAGGGGAGAGGGCGAATCCCCAGCAGTCACCTTCCAGCCCTGCACCCCGTGCTGGGGACTGAGACCCAGACAGCCACACCCCGAGACCTGGGACTTTGTCGCCCCCTCCTCTCCTGCTCCGAGACAATTGCCACACCGTGTCCCTGAGTCGAGTCCAGGCCCAGGGACTGGGTCCGCAAGTCTGAAACTTTTTTTTTTTTTTTTCTAGAAACTCTGTTCAGTCTCACAAATTATTACGGATCCCATGTATAAATTTGTTTTGTGGGTTACAGCTTTAAATATTTACTTTACTAGAATAAAATATTTTTAAAAGATTTTATTGCTTCTTTACTTTAGAATATAAATAACCTGGGTCCTCCCTGGTAAGATCAGCACTGTGAAGTGACCTGTAGCTGCAGCAGCACCAGTTCAATCCATGGCCAGGGAGCAACCCACATGGCACACCAGACCTCTCCTGTTTCACCTGCTGCTCCCCTCAGCAGTGTATTTCTGTAGATCTGCCTGTTCTGCTCTCCACTCTGTCTTTGGTGAATCCTCTCACCGGCCATACCTCTGGTCTGTACCCCAGTTCTTGTATGCATAAATAAATAAATCTTTTTTTAAAAAAAGAATATTAATAACCTATGGTATGCTAATGATGGAGTTTTTGGAGTCAGTGGGGTTGGAGTGCGGGATCCTTGGGTTCACTCTGGGAAAGGTTTTGTCACATTTTCTCTCCCCTTGATACCAACACAGCATACAAATAGTGGTAGTAAATTTTTGCTACTGATTTCAGAATCTGTTTTTGCATAACTTCCATAGGGATTTTGTCGGTTTTAACAAAAATTGGACGTGAGTTTGATTGTGTGGCTTTGTGTGAAGTTCTTCCAAAAAGTTGAAAAAGAGCTGAACCAAGAATAGGAGAACCTGTTTGCCTTGTTTGTAGGGTTCCAGAGACCTCCAAAGAAGGTGAGGAAGCTTGCCTCCATTGGCAGGACTGGACAACCCGGCCAACGAAAATGCCCTGGTACCCTGGAGAAAGAGAAAGCCCAGGTGGAGTCCTGATGAGACCAACTTTATACCTGAAGCATACATCGACTGGATGCCACCGGTTCGCTCTGATCCTGTATGGAATATTTCAACAAAGCCAGCTAAAATTGCTGTTAGTTATTTCTGCCCTGTGATTTTATGCAAAAATAGGCAAAATGGTTTAAAAGTAGACTTAATTGCAAACTTTTGCTATGCTGTTAAAGTTTGGGATCAAGGTTGAGAGAATTCATTTTTGCATAAGTTGAACCATTTTAACATTTTTTTTTCCCTGTGATTTTGATATATTTGCTGTCTTGTTTTAGCTAACGCTCCAATTTTTTTTTTTTTTTTTTTGGCTGGTATAATGGACTATTTTTCAGAATGGAAAACTGTCATACTGGACATTCATAGACAATGCTGCTGACTAATTGTTGCTTCTCTTACACACATTGTAACCCTAAAAAAGACTGTCTCCTAAGACTACACCCTGAGATTGTGCCACCATAGATATGGTGGAATAAAAATTAAAAGGGGGGATTGCAACAGGGTGGTTCCCAGGAAAGGGGGAGGTTCCCTGCCCCACCCAAGGGAGGGTGGAGCTGAGCAGGAAGAAGAGAGGCTGAAGAAGAGACTGAGGAAGGAAGGAAGCAGGATGGAGCCAGGAGACCTGGAGGAGGCGCATGGAGCCTAGAGACATGTGAAGAAACTGTGCTTGTCTTTTGGTCGTGGACGGGGTGACACAGATGTGGGTGAGACCCGTGGGGAGGTGACAATGGCAGCTTTTATCTTGATGTTGATTTTGCTCTTTTCCTTCCGGGCTTGTCCAGTTGTTTGTGACCCTTTTCTGTGGGTCCCCACTGGAAGATGCTTTAGACTTGTGGCAGGCTTTGGGGCCTTGCTCTGGGGCCAATCCCATTTGGATGGACTTTACCACGAGGGGACGGGTAACCTCTGGATGGCTTCATTTGAAACTAGACTCTTTGCCTTACCTGTATTGTTTCCTAGTTTTATTAAAGTTCCTTCCCATTAAAGTCTCCTATGTTTTGTGTTGATGCGGCGGATGGCAGAACCCATTTAGAATAGGCAGGTTTGCGGGGTTTGGGCTGCCCCTCTCCCTGTACTATAACAGATTCACCAGAGTTCCTGTTTCAGCGACACACGAAGAATTCCCCAGGCGAGTTACTCCACAAGACAGAGACATTAGTTTTTATATTAAAGAACAGATTTATTACACAAGGAACAGAAGAGTAAAGGACACTTGCTTAGACACAAACGGGCAGGAAGAGCTGCCCCCCTTCCCAGAGGGACAGGTTTGCTGAGAGAGGCCTGCATGGCTGCAGGTGAATGGCCTTGAGGAGAGCTGCTTCCACTGAGGGAGGTCAATGAAGAGAAGTGCAGGCATGATGCAGGTCATGGCCAGGCAGGAGGCTGCTGCCCTGCAGAGAGGAGAATTGGTGAAAAGATGCACCTGCAGAGTCACAGGTGGGCAGAGGGATTGCTGCCCCCAGCCTGTGCAGAGGCTGCACTGACATAGTCTTTTTCTGTTTGGGAGGGGTCACTCCTTGTGAGCCTTCTGGTTAGTTGTTGATGTTGGATAACTATGCAGAATCTGAAAGGGACAGGAGAGTCTACAATGGGCTCAATCTCCGTATCTTTACCCTTGGGCCTGTGCTCTAGACAGCAGTCTCATACCTGCTTGGATTTTCTGCTTTGTAATCTAGGCTTTGGAGCCTAGGATCTTGGTTTCTAGATCTGTGTCAATGGCTGTGTTAATCCCTTCTACCCCCTGCTCCTTGTGTGAGCCAGATTTCTGGTCTTGGGGCTCTCCTTTCCAGCGTTTTCCTATTGCTCTCCTCCATCTTTCACTAACTTGACAACTTCCAGTACTACTTTTACTTTTGGGATTTGTGGTGAAAAATAAAGTGAAAATTTCTTTTTAATAATTTGATTCCAGTGTAATGAATACTGAAGATCTTTACAACTTAGTGGAATAATATATTACTTTAAAAAAATCACACATTAGCACAAGACCCAACCAGTATGCAAGAGAGTGATGAGAGCATATATTATTGAGCAAATGAATATAATAAAGATTCCAGCAGAATTTCCCAGTCTTGGTGCAATTGTAAGAGGGTGCTGCCCAGGGAAAGGGGAAGTTTCAGGTTCTCTTGCCCCACTCAAAGGAGGGTGGAGCTAAAGAGAAGAAGCTGAAGGAGACTGAGGAAGCAGGATGGAGCCATAAGGAGAACCTGCAGGAGGCACATGGAAACAGAGAGACACCGTGAAGAACTATGCTTGCCTTTTGGTGCTGAAACTGATGTGGGTGAGA